CGTCCAAGTTCTCGATTGTGCCGACCTCCTGGGTCGAGCACTCACTTGGAGGCTCCGGAAGTGTTAACCCGTGCCGACCTCTCGGGGTCGAGCATCGCCTTCCTTTCGTCCAAGTTCTCGATCGTGCCGACCTCCTGGGTCGAGCACTCACTTGGAGGCCCTGAAAGTGTTAACCCGTGCCGACCTCCCGGGGTCGAGCATCACTCCCTTTCGCCCAAGTTCTCGATCGCGCCGACCTCCCGGGTCGAGCACTCCGAATTTTTGGAAGCCTTACTCGTGCCGAACTCTCGGGGTCGAGCAGCACCTAGCTTCTCAAAGGCGTCCGCCGACCTCTTGGGGTCGAGCACTCCCGCGCTCTCGAAGGATCTTAAGGGTTTTTCACCGTTTATCCCCCTAACCCCCCACTAGGACATTTAGTGAGGTAAAGCTAAGTGTGCTAGTGTAGGATTTAAACTTAAAAGGCAAACAAGTACAAATAAAATTTGAACTTGACAATCGAGCATTTATTGAATCATGAAACTAAAATTCAAATTTCAAAAAACAGACAGCCAGTCACCCTGACCTAACCTACGCTACGAACAGTCGCAAATTGGAGAAGTTCCAAGTGCGGGGTACCTCTGTCCCATCCACTTTTGCGAGTCTGCAGTAACCAGCCCGGCTGGCTTCCAGGACCTTGTACGGTCCCTCCCAGTTCGGGTCGAGTTTGTTGGAACTGTAAGCTCTGCTGATCGAGTTCTTTCGCAGGACCAGGTCTCCTGGCTGGAACTGAATGTTTCTTACTCGGGCGTTGTGATAGCGGGCTAGTTGGCCCTTGTACTTAACCATCTGTATCGCCGCTTCTTCACGCTTAGCCTCCAGCATGTCCAAATTGCACCTTAGCTCCTCTCCATTGGCTGTCGCAACGAAATTCTGCGTCCGAGGCGATGGGAGACCGATCTCTGCGGGGACCACCGCCTCCACCCCATAAGTCAGAGAGAACGGGGTCTCTTGGGTGGCCGTCCTGGGCGTGATGCGGTAAGCCCAGAGGACACTAGGGAGTTCCTCTAACCAGCTAGACTGGGCTAGCTTCAGTCTAGTTTTTAGTCCTTACAGGATGGTTCGATTAGCGTTCTCCACCTGACCGTTAGCCTGGGGGTGGCCGACCGACGTGAAGTGTTGATTGATCCCGAACTCGGCGCACCAGCTCTTGAAGGGGTTTTCGGCGAACTGTCGCCCGTTGTCAGATATCAGGACATGCGGAATCCCGAAACAGCAGACTATGTTTTTCCAAAAGAACTTCTGGATTGCCCTCCCTGAGATAGTGGCCAGGGGCTCAGCTTCCATCCACTTGGTGAAGTAGTCGATGGCCACCACGAGGTGCTCGTACCTCCCCGGTGCTCGAGGGAAAGACCCCAGGAGGTCTATCCCCCACTGGGCGAAGGGCCAAGGACTGTGGATGGGGACCATTTCCTGAGCTGGCTGGTGGCGCAAAGGGGCGTGTACCTGGCAAGCTCGGCACCTTTGCACCAACATGGCGAAATCTCGGAATATTGAGGGCCAATAATAGCCCAGGAGAAGGCACTTTTTGGCCAATGTACGGGACCCTACATATGCCGCACATAGGCCCTCATGGATTTTGTAACGCCCCGAGGCAGAAGAAAGGGAAAAATTTCTGGTGAATAGAGTTTTGTGGGGGAATCCGGCCAGAAGCCGTGCAAATTCCTTATATTTTTCTTAAAATTTCCTTTTCTTTGACAAATACCACTTTATAGTGGCCCTACTACTCAATCACCCCACAATAAGTGCCAATGAATCTAGAAAATAGGGTTTCACGCTTCGGTTTCAAGTTTGGAGCAAAATTAGGGTTTTCGCGATTTTTCGCCGGATGAATTTTCGGTACAGAGTAAGGATTAATTTTGGGGATTAAAAGTGACTTTTAAGTGAGAAATAATATGTGAATTGGAGCAATGAGATAAGGTTAGTGAATGGAAAGTAAAAACCCTAGTACGGGTGTTTTTAAGAGAAACGGCGCGAACCGGCGGGTCCCGCGTACTACCGTTTGAACGCACCACTTGACCACCATTTTTGCTTACCAAACAAATTTATTGAACTTGAGCAAAATATCTTCCCTCTTGACAGCAAGCTTGACCGAAATTTGTGGTCCATATGCAAAGGGAAAGAAAGAGAAAATTTTGTGGCCAAGATTAGTCCAAGTGTTTGCCCAATTTGTGGACACCATTAGTCCTAATCCTCTTGCTTTATTATAAGGCAACTAAGCTCCATTTCTCTTCATATTTCTGCCAAGGAGCCGAGAGAGAGAGAGGGGAAGAATAAGAGATAAATTTCTTCATTTCTTCTTGATTCAAGCTACAAAGCAAGAAATCAAAAGAACTAAACCGATTAAACTTGTTTTTGAGTGACTAGTTAGTGAGTTTTTTGAAGGAGAAAGCTTGGGCTTCTCTTAGTGACCTCTAGTCAAGGTAAGAGAGCTTATCTCTCCAAGTTTTGCTTTCAATTTTGTTAAATTAAGCTTGGCAACTTGATTTTATGGTGAAATCATGGATGATTAGCATGTTTTAGAAGTTTTCCCCTTTCTTATTTGATGACTAGGGTTTGGGGAAATTCTGCCCAATTTATTGTATGATACTTATATGTTGCAATTAAGGTTTTATAAGGTGTTTTGGTCAAGGTTTGTAAAATCGGAATCCTACGTAGGATCGATTTTAGTTTCACAAGATCGGATCGTAGGATCGGATCGTAGAATCGTAAGATCCTACCAAAAGCTCCTAATTGCAATTAAAGGTTGCAATTCTTTGATAAATTACAAATATATCACAAATATTTTCATTTACTTGCAAAATGGAGTTTCGTATTTCACAAATTTACAAAAAAATTGTAGGATCGTACGATCCTACCGATCCTACGATTCTACTATCCTACACGATCCTACCGATTCTGCTACGATTCTATGCGATCCTACAGAGATTAATATGATTTGCGACTCTAAATACGATCCGGATCGATTTTGGTTATCCGGATCGTAGGATCGTACGATCCTACGATCTGAATCGCGATTTTGACAACTATGGTTTTGGTAGTGATTGGACCAAGAAATTAAGGAAAATTGAGAAAGTTCCATTGATTACAAAAAATTCCAGAATCTGGAAAATTTTTCCCAACATTCTGTCCGAATTTATAACTGTATGTTAGAGGCCGAATTGGCCTTAGGTCAAAGAAGGAAAGTTGTAGAGAATGGTATTTTATAGGTGCCTACAAAATTTCAGCTCAATCGGAGCAACGTTGGTCATGAAAAGTCCAAAATACCCTTACTATTTTATGTATTTCCCAGCAGTCCGTTTCATCAGTTAAGTCCAGTTTATCACGTTTCTTGACTGGGAGCCGTACTGATTTAGCTTTTTACCAAAACATGAAAGTTGTGGCATTTTGTCTTAACTTTCAAATGCCTCTAAGAACACCTGAATTGGACTTTTGTACACTGAGTTATGTCCATTACAGTGTAATGCGATTAAACAGCCGACGAATTGGTTTCTGGTTTAGTAATTTGAGACTCTGACCAAGTTACATTAGAAACTGGACTAAGTGACCTTCATGAACATTGTAGCTCTGTGTCTTAGCTTCGAAACGACATAGGTTGCGTCTCAATCCGATAAGCGTAGCCTCAGATATGTTATTTCCGCATTCATACGTCAAATCTGTCTTGTGTTAAATTGAATTTCTGCACTTGTTATTGTTGTGATTCTTGTTATTATGCTATTGTGAGCCTATGGAACGGCTCTTGACATGAATTGTTGATATATGTGATGTTGGGTTGTGGTTGAGAAAAGTAATGAAGCCTAAATGGCTGGAAAATTAGGTAAACACAAAGGGCATGCTGCCCGAATTTTTACTCGAGAACTAGAAAACTATATTAGCGACTTGAGTGAAGGTTAAGTACTTATTACTTGAACTAGTTAGGACCTTTGCTACTATGTTTCTCGAGTGTTATACGTTAGAATTTGGCCGAACTTGTACCCTTGAGGAAAAGCCTAATGGCCAATGTAAACTTGAATTTCCTTGTACTTTCAACTCAAGTATTATTTCCAAGCATCTATGTTACAAAACCTTATGATTTGAAAAGCGAGCAAGTTTCCACGAGTGTCTTTCAAATGAATTTCAATTGGTTGGTTCTTAATGAACGGAACGTTTAAGTTTCGAATCTTACTCGTGTTTCAAAGTTCTCAAATTGGATTTCTATCGCAGATCTGGACTTCAAACATGGAGTATAGTTGAACGTGAATACTTGAAGCACTATAATTGGAGTGAGTGATCCCTCGACTGTCCCAAAGTTACTTTTGAACTAATTCTTGCATTTATTACTCCATTGCATATCATTTGGGGTTCGGGTGTGTGCCATGACATAATTTGGCTCCAATGAGTTCCTGGAAAGTCTTGTGCTTAGAACCAATGTCTCCACTATTGTTTACACATTCTTTGGAGCACGATGGCTCCTTACTTCTGTTTCATGGTTACTTGATCTAAACAAGCATTGGATATTTAAGTACAAGAACTTCACTGGCTCACATGAGCAATAAATGAACATTTGATTACTGCATCATGACATCATATTAATGCTTTATTGTGAAATATACTTGGCTGTTGATTTTACTGGTCACTCGCTGAGTTTCTAACTCACCCCCTATTATCTTCTTCTCCCCACAGGGATCGAGGTAAAGGAAGAACTTGTATATGGATCTTTGTGTGGCTGGATGGCGTACATCTTATATAGTTTAGTTTTGGTTTTGGTTTATGTACTTTTGGGCTTGTATAAATATTTGGAATTGAATCGGATGTAAATCTACGTTTTACGCTTAGAACTAGTTTCCGCTTCGCTTATTATATGTAATTTTGGGAAATTGGATGTATTATTTGAGTTGTACCTTGTAATTTACTTGAGGAATGTAGTAAGTGAGTGAGTCCCGGCGAGAGTTGGGCAGACGGCCCGCTAAACCCTCTGGTACGTCTTAGGGAGAGGTGGGGTCGTTACAGATTTCACGGAGGACGTAGTCGCCTTCCTCCGAAGTCACGCACTTTAGCCAGGGGGACAGATACGACCTCCTGTAGAGGGTTCCCCCGGCGTAGGCGTACCCGGAAGCTCGGAGCTGGAGTCGGCGGGCCTCCGTTTTGTCCCTGGGAAGGACTCCCGAGCTAAGGAAGTCCACCGGAGGGGTCATCCATGTGGCCGAGCCGTCTATGGCCAAGACCTGAACTTGGTTAATACTTTTGTGCCTGATCACCTCTACCAAGACCTCATTACTTAGGTGGGCGAACAAGTAGGACGCCAGCTTTGACAGGGCGTCTGCGCGCTTGTTCTGGGACCTTGGCACCCGCTCGATTTCAAAAGTCTCGAACGGGGCCACTGCCTCTCGTACCTTAGCCAGGTACTTCTTCATGACCTCCTCCTTGGCCTCGTACTCCCCGAGGACTTGGAGGACGACGAGCTGCGAGTCGCTCCGAACCCGGATTGCGGTGATGCCCATCTGGTGGGCTATCCGCAATCCTGTCAACAGGGCCTCATACTCCGCCTCGTTGTTGGACGCCGGGAAGTCAAACCTGAGGGCGTAGGTTAGCTCCTCCCCTGTGGGCGAGATGAGTAGCAGGCCAGTTCCGCTCCCTTCTTTGCTCGACGCTCCATCTACGAACAACACCCATGGCTCCTCCGGCGGCGCGTCTATCGGCGAAGGGTTAGTCTCGGCCAGGGTCAGGCTGGTGCCCTCAGCCAGGAAGTCTGCCAAGGCCTGAGCCTTGATCGCGGTGCGGGGCTTATAGCCAATGTCGTACTCGGCCAGCTCGACAGCCCATTTGGTCATCCTGCCCGAGACCTCGGGCTTGGTGAGTATCTGACGCAAGGGCTGGTCGGTCAGGACTATGATACTGTGGGCCTGAAAGTAAGGGCGGAACTTGCGAGCGGCGTGTACCAAGGCAAGGACCAACTTTTCAGCCGGCGTGTATCGCGTCTCTAGCCCCTGTAAAGCACGACTGCGTAGTACACCGGTCTTTGAGCCCCCCCGTCCTCCCGCACCAAGACAGCGCTAACGGCCTCGTTGCAGGCGGACAGGTACAGGAACAGGGTCTCCCCCTGCTCCGGGGCTGTCAGAGCCGGTAGCTCGGCCAAATAGGCCTTCAGGTCGACGAAAGCTTTCTGGCACTCCTCCGTCCATTGGAAATCTTTAGGCGCTTTTAGGATGCGGAAGAAGGGCAGCCCCCGGACCGCGGAACGCGAGAGGAATCTGTTCAGGGCGGCCATACTTCCTGTGAGCCGCTGAACTTCCTTTACGTTCCTGGGGGAGCCATGTCCATTATAACTTGGAGCTTGTCCGGGTTGGCCCGGATCCCTTCTCGGGACACCAAGAACCCTAAGAACCTTCCAGACCTGACCCCGAAGGTGCACTTCTTCGGGTTCAACCGCATCCTGCTCTCCCTGAGGATATCCAGGATCTCCCTCAGGTTGGGGACGAGCTGCTGATCAGTTCGGCTTTTAACGATCATGTCGTCCACATACACCTCCATGCTTCGGCCGATCTGATTTTGGAACATCTTGTTCACCAGGCGCTGGTAGGTAGCTCCAGCGTTCTTCAGCCCGAATGGCATGGTCCTATAGCAGTAGGTTCCTTCCTCCGTAATGAAGGAGGTCTTCTCTCGATCCTCCTCCGCCATCTCGATCTGGTGGTACCCCTTAAAAGCATCCAGAAAATACAAGACGTCAAAACCCACATTAGAATCTACTAACCTGTCGATCCTTGGCAGGGGGAAACAGTCTTTAGGGCAGGCCTTGTTGAGGTCCGTGAAGTCAACGCACATCCTCCAGGTCTGGTCTTCCTTCTTAACCAGGACAGGATTGGCCAGCCAGGTCGGGTAGTAGACCTCCAAAATGATTTTGGATTCTAGCAGTTTCCCGACCTCGTTCTTGATTACCTCGTTCCTTTCTGGGGCGAAACTCCTCTTTTTCTGCTTGACTGGCTTGAAGCGAGAATCCACGTCAAGATGGTGGACTGCTAGATCGGTCGGGATCCCGGGCATGTCATCCACCGACCAAGCGAAGACCTGGGAGTATTCCCTTAATAGAGCCTTCAAGCCCTCCTTCTCCTCGGGGGACAGCAGCGCGCCTATGCGGATCACCTAGTCTGGCCGGTCTTCCCTCAAGGGAATTCCTCGATTTCGTCCTGGGTACCCGGCTGCCGGGTTTCATCCCCCGGGATGTAAGGCTCCAGACAGGTCGTCTGAACGACCACCTTCTCTGGCCCGCGGAGCGTTGCCAGGTAGCAGGCTCTGGCTACCTCTGGGTCACCGTGCACCTCGGCTATCCCTGCGGGAGTAGGGAACTTGACACTGAGATGGAGAGTAAAGGGAATGGCCCGGAGGGCGTTCAGAGCAGGTCTCCCAAGGAAAACATTGTACGGCGACGCTTGTTTGACCACCACAAAGTTAACAGAGATGGTCCGGCATTTGGGAGCCTGCCCTACCGTGACCATCAAGGTGATCATTCCCTCCGGATTGATGGGCGAACCTGTGAAACCTACCAGAGGTGTTCGGACCGGGGTCAGTTGGTCATCCTTCAATCCGAGCTCCTTGAACACCCGATAGAACATAATGTCAACTGCGCTCCCTTGGTCGACATACACTTTCTTCACCCGGTAGTTGTTGGTGACAATGTCTATCACAATGGCCTCGTGATTTCCGGACGCCAGGGGGACCGCATCCTTTGGCCCGAAAGTTATCTCCTCGTCCATACGCAGGCGCTTCAGGGAATCATCCGCCTCGGGGGGAGGTCGCCTATTCTTCCAAGCTGTGTGGCTGTCCCCCCCCGTGGGGCCCCCAGCGATGGTGTTTATCACCTCCGCGAGGTTCTGATTGTCCTAGTCGGGCGAATGGCCCCAAGGGGCATCGCGTCGCTCAGGACGGTCGCGACGCTGTACCTCACGCCGGTCCCCATAGTAATGGCGCCCGAACTCCTGGCCCGGTCGGTCATGGCGTACGAACCGTCCCAGAAAGCCGCGCTGGATCAGGTTCTCGATCTCCTTCTTTAGGGCCCAGCATCCCTCCGTGTCGTGCCCCACGTCGCGGTGAAAGGCACAGTACCGGTCCTGATTCCTCTTGTTCCGAGGTGTTCCCATCTTTGGCGGCCGATCTCCCAGCCCTTCCGCTTCCATAACAGACAAGATCTGGGCTCTAGGCCGTGTCAGAGGGATGTAGCTCTTCTCCGAGAGCGGTGGCGGAACGGGTGCCTTCTCCTTCGAGAGTCGATCAAAGACGTTCTTCTTGGCCGGGACGTCCTTGCCCTCTTGGGGGTTTGTTCGACCCTTCCAATCTCCGAGCTCTCGATCTGATTCCTTCTTCAGGCGGCCTGCCTCCTCCGCATTAGCGGCCGCGTGCGCCCGGGTTAGGAGCTCCTCCAGGTTTACGGGAGGCTTCTTGGCCAACTCGTAGAAGAGCTCCTCTACCCTGAGCCCGTTCGTGAATACGGCCATTACCACTTTCTCGTCTTTATCCCTTACCTGCAAGCTCTCCGCGTTGAAGCGGGTCATGAAGTTCCTCAACGACTCGTCGGGCTTCTGCCGGATAGACATCAGGTGGGTGGCGTTCTTCGCATAGGTCTTCGAGGAGACGAACTGGGCGACGAACTGCCTAGCCAGCTCGGGAAAACTCCGGATAGACCCTGGTGCCAAGCCTTAGAACCAGAGCCGAGCTTTCCCCTTCAAGAATATAAGGAAAGTCTTGCAGCGGATCTCATCCGCAGCAGTTTGTAGTCGCATGTGCGTCAGGAAGACGGAGAGGTGGTCTTCCGGGTCTGTTGAAGCGTCATACATCTCGATGCTAGGGATCTTAAACCTCCGGGGCAGCGGGTAGTCCTCTATCTCCCGGACGAAAGGCGAGATCGCGTAGTTGTTCTAGTACGGCCTTGGCCTCAAGATCTGCTCGAGCTCATCTCGGACAGGTTTCAACGGGGGAGGGGCGCGCGGTCGGCTCTTGACAGACCGAGAGGGAGAGCGGACCAACCCATTTCGCTCAGGCTTCCTCGGGGAGGGGTCCCTCCGCCTGCTCCCCACGGACCTGTCCCGGGAGTACCTCTCGCTGTCCCCGATTACCGAGGCTCGCGGGCGACGTGGAGTCCGTGGCCGTTTCCTCCTGGGGGGCTGGTCTCGCGACTCATCCTCCGAAGGGTCAGGGGGTGACTCCTTCTCCTTCCCCTTCGCCTTGAAAGTCTGCGCGCCTCCAACCCCATTTTCCTCCTTCGCCTGCCGGATTATATCCTCCAGCATGGGGAGCTTCTCTGTTACGAACTGGAGCATCTGCTGTCCTTGTTCCCCTGAGAGGGCTGAGCCCCCAGCGCCCCCTGCCGCTTCGGTCTCCGCCCGCCAGGATCCCTCTCCGGCTCCGGGGCCGGTGCTCTCCACGGTCCGCTTAGAACGTGTCCTTGTCATCAACACTATTACACTTACCTTTCGTTTCCCACAGACGGCGCCAACTGAAGAAGCGCTGAACTTCCCCGAACCGAGCTGAACTGATGAGCTCGGGGTGCTGATGGAAGAGCTGGTCCTAAGCCTGCAAAACAAACAAGGAGGAACTGGAAGAGGGGGTCCGAGGGTTGTCCCCGAGGGCACTCCGACGGTCAAGTTAGTTTTCCGGTGAGTAGAGTTCACGGGAAGCAATAACAACCAGGAGTAATTTTCCTAGAGTGAGCGTACCTTATACAGTTGACGTGTGCTATCATTTATACCTGTGAGGGAGTCCGACCTCCGTACGTTTCGGGACCTGCCCAGAATAGTCGGTATCCCGCACGGAGGGGGATTATCCCCGACCTCTTCGGGACGGACCCTTGCCTCCTTCGAGAGCCCTACCGGTGTGGCCCAGGTCGACTGCCAGGGGCCAGGGGCCGAAGCCCAGCTCGGCCCTATCTGGGCTGCCACATGTCCAAGCCCAGGATGGGGCCTCTACTCCAACCATCTCTCCTTTCTACGAACACGGACAAAACTGGAGCATTGGGCTCTTTTATTCAGGTTGTCATCCGTTACTCCGTCCGATGTGGGACAAATGGCAAACCATCCAACTCACAGACCAATTTCAATTTGTTTTGTGCCACCCGGGAGAATGATTTGCAGATCTTGCTTTTAAGTTATTATTAGGACTCTCGTTTTAGCTCCGGTCGTTGGAATACAAATTCTAAAGGTGACCTCCTTTTTGATAAATTTATGCTTTCATTGCTTAGTGCTCTGATGCTAAAATTATTTTGTCACTCAATTCTCAGCTAACCTAACTTTGTCGAGAGACAAATACTTGGGCCAACTGCGCTAGCACCCCCATCAATTTTTTGCAGAATTGCACTTTGCCCGCTCAAGATTTTTATATAGCCATTTTGCCCCAGTTTCTTTTTCTTGTTCCATTTGAATTATATTATTCACCAAAATTCTCCAATATCAATCAGCTTCAAATAATATTTGTCAATGTAAAATATTCTGTTGTATCAATTAGTATTAATCAGTAAGATTAGGTATGTCAATTAGTAGTATCAATTACATCACTAGTTAAGACATTTACCTTGCATAATATTAGTTTAGGTTCATTGTACTTAGGTGTCTAGATTCACTTTGTAAAACCTATAAATATAAGTATTACTAGGAGGGGAATGCCCACGTATCACGCGGGTGTTTGGTGCCTGTGGTTAAAGAAGATTTTACGGTAGTTCAAACAAATATCAAAAAACTCACGCATATTGAATAACAATATGAAGTAACAAAACATCTAATGTATACTGGGAGATGGAGAAGGAAATTATGCATGCTATCTTGCTTGGTTCATACATTTTGAAACAAACACTTGTACATGAGCTTTTTATTAACGAGACTAAATGAACTTTAAATAGATACCCTAACGATTCAGAGAATGATAATAAACAAAGTGATTATCCACTTAAAGATGCATCTACACAACATTCTTGTTGATGAAAGTAGCCAACTTTTTTAGCAACGACAAAGCCTAGCCTCGAAAGGTTTGGTTCCATCAGAGGATTCAACAATGGATCATCAACCCCTGTAGATTTTGGGTGAACATAATGCCAAATGTCCTTAACATAGGCGTTCGCCTGTAATTTCGTTAACTCAATACTGATTAGATCTTTCCCCCAAAATAAGAACAATTGAGAAAAATCACATCAAAATCGAAGTCATCTAGTATCTCCAGCCAAACCCTTGATGCCATGTTATGTGCTAAATTGCTACCAGCACTAACCCCATCAAAAAACACCCTATCAAAGCCAGCATAATCCCTAAGTCATACCTCAGGACCCTCGCCATTTGAATGAGGGACAACTCATTTGACTGTAATCTAAGAATCTTCATAAACAATAGGCAAAGGATGCTTAGGGGGCGAGCCGATAGTTAATTGAAACTGTTATAACACCAGCTTCTGCAACTACTACATTAAGATGCGCGTGATATGTAGGAGAGAAGGCAGATTTGATCAAAAAGCCTCCACCATGTAAGTAGACAAAAAGAGGAAGTTTTGTATCTCCAAACCTATTCCAACAAAATCACACCATTTAAATTGTATAAAACAACTAATTTTGTGAGAAAACAATAATATCAACATTAAATTGCGCTAACAGAGTATCTAATTTTGGAATGAAAACATTTAGCTAACAATAGAAATTACGATTTTACAAAGCAAATCATACCATTAAAAAAAAGGAATGAAACCTCACCTCAAGTTGAACCACCAAGAATAGCTTCACCAGAGAACCATATTGAAATCCAGAATACCATGACAATACAAATAAGTATTTACCGGAAGACGAAAGGAATATAACGGAAGAATGTGAAGTTGCAGATATTTGAAGAATTGAAGTTGAAACTAATGCTCAATCATAAATTCCTTAATAAACCCCATTGCCCTTGCTTTAATTGAGATGAAAATGACGTTTGAAGTTCTTCAAATTATAATAGCAAAGTAACATTAATAATTGATACAAACCACAATGAATGTCTCTGCAAGGACATATAAGTAATTACACCAATAAACAAGCTATTATGGGTTGTACCCATTGTAGAAAAGATGACCAAATAATCTCACATTCCCAAACTACCCAAACCTTTGAACAAATCATTACTGCATCTTTTAGAATACAAGGACATTTCAGTAAACACAATAATACACATGTTATCTAAACTAGTACCCAATACTATAACTACATTCAAAACAACCTCACAATCCAAAATACCCCTACTCTTGCGGTTGAAATTCAAAATCATTCTTTGACTCAAACTCATTCTTATATAGTATAAGGATATCATTATACAAATCATGAATTCCATAAACAATTCCTCCAAAATTAACTTCTTCTAACATGGTATTGGAGCATGACTTCATTCTCAACATTTTTCCTTTCTTCAAAATCTTTTTCCAAGACTTTTCCCTAGTGACCATTTCCAGTCAGTCCATTTCCAATACTCCCCATCTTCTACTGATCATCTCTCTATTTTTTGGGTCGCCAAAAATTGGCCCACGCGCCTTCACAAGCTGATCAATCGGCCACCAGTAATTCTTCTTCACTTCAGGTTTTGAGTCTATGATATACTAGATCTTTTAGGCCCAGATCTACTTCGTTTCGACTTATGTCTGCATCTCTAGTCTAGCTTTGCTTCTAATCTAGTCCGCGACCCACATTGGCTCACATGCTGCTCCGCTCCAAATCCGTATCCCTACCCACTGTTGCTGTTTCAGATCTGATATTTACCTTGACAAACTACTTTCATTTTTACAGTTAATCGCCCTATTATACCGAATACACATACTGATACCATCTTGTCCAATAATATTTCTCTATATGATGTCTATTTTCTCTCGGTAGTCTCTCAACCTTCTGTCTTCTGGTTAATTATGTGACCTTGATCTTCATTTAGGGTGTATTTGATAAAATTAAAGTTTGAAAACTGAAATTTGAAATTTGAAATATGAATTTATTAAATTATTGAATTGTTGAGTATTGAATTTGATACATTCGAATGTATATTATATTAAGTGATAAGTAAATAACTTATCAATTATTTTTGGAAGCAAATTTTGCCTCAAAAATTTGGATGTTCAATTTTTAGTTATCAAACGCTTCTAAACATATTAAAATCTGAATCTATTAAATTTAAGTGCTAAATTGGGTTATCAAATAGGGTCTTATTCTTTTTTCATGCTGGTTGTCTTATTCAAAAACTATTGACGAAGACAATTATTGGGACCAAGTGTAAAATTGGGAGACTATTCGAGTTAAAATCTCTTCGTCTTCCCTTTTCTCATACACTTGCTACTCTTACTATATCAATATAGTATTCTAGATTAGGTCATCCCTCTCATGTTAGATTAAAATCTTTAATTTTTGATGGTAAATTAGGAATTATTAAATTTGACAACTTGCTTTATCTTTTAATAAGAGTGACTCTCATGTTTTAGCACCTTTTGATTTAGTCCATTCTGATGTTGGGGTTTAGCTCCTTCCAATTCTTATTATGGGATGTTCTCATTTTTGTTTTTTTTTTATTGATAATTTTTCTCGATATATGTGAATTTATCTCTTAAAATCCTGTTATGAACTTCTTTCTATTTTTCATAAATTTAATGCAATGGTACAACTCAATTCTCCTAAATTATTAAACTTTTTAGATCTGATAATGCAAATGAATACACCTCTGATGATTATGAGTCTACATTAATCTCTCTAGACATCTTACCTCATTTATTTTGTTCGGGGAGGATTTCTCAACAAAATGGTAAAGTTGAACTCAAGCATTGTCACATTTTAAATACTATTCAGTCTCTACTAATTTATGCATCTTTATTGGAACCATGTTCAAGAAAGGCTGCTCTTACTACTGTATATACTATTAACCGAGTTCTATCTCCTATCCTTCAAAATAAATCTCCATATGAGATATTATTTTGAACTATATCTGACTAGTCATATCTTAGGATTTTTTAATGTGCATGTTTGTGATTATTCATTCTCATGAACGATTCAAATTATAGCATCATACTCATCTTTATTTTTTCTTGGGCATGGAATTGCTCATAAAGACTATAGATATTATGATTCCACTTCTAGTAGGTTGCATATTTCTCGCAATGTCAATTTATAGGAGCATAAATACTTTTCTGCTGTCCCTCAAACTATTTCACATTCTTCTTCCATACCATATCATTTTACTAATTTTCTATTAATCTATTTGTTGTGTCCCTCAATTGAGTGTCTAGGTTCAGAACAGCCCTTTATGCCTCCTGGTGAGTTGTCTTCTTTCGTGAATCCATCAAATCTTGCTCTTCCTCAATATCCCTCTCGAGTAAGAACTCAACTATCCTATTTTTGTGATTATCAATACTTTTCTGCTTTGGCGATTTTACATAAACCTATTTCATTTTGCAAAACTTCGTTTAACCCATTATGGTAGAAAGTTATGTAAGAAGAGTTAGATACTTTGGTAAAAACTCATACTTGGGATTTAGTCGATTTGCCTCATCGCAAAATTGCTATTAGCTATAAATGGGTTTACAAAATTAAAACTCATTCTAAGGGATCCGTTGAGCATTATAAAGCTCAACTTATTGCCAAAGGTTATAGTCAGGAATACGGTATTGATTACGAAGACTTTTCCTCCAGTTGCTTGTCTCATAACTGTTCAAACTCTTATTGTTATCCTTGCTATTCATTGTTGGCCTCTTTTTCAAATGGAGGTGAAAAATGCATTTCTTAATGGTGATTTTCTTGATGAAATTTATATGACGCTATCTCTTGATTTTTCTAATCCTTCGCACAAGGTTTGTCATCTTCATCATGCCTTATATGGTTTTAAACAAGCTTTTCGGTTTTGGTTTGCCAAGTTTAGCCATTTCTTACGATTCTACCCTTTTTCTTCGCCGCACAACAACTGGTACCATATTGTTACTTCTCTATATTGATGATATGGTTTCACCTATGATTATTTAGAAGGTATTCAACAGCTCAATCAATCCCTTAGTCAACAATTTGAAATGAAAAAGTTTGAATTTCTTATTTATGTCTTGGGTCTTGAGGTATCTTCAAATACCAATAGATACTACATATTTCAAGCAAAATATGCTTCTGATCTCTTGACTTTCACTAGCTTAACAAAAAGTAAGATTACTTCTACTCCAATTGAGGCAAATATTCACCTTACTTGTATGAATGATATGTTATTGGATGATCCTATGCGATACTGTCAGTCAATTGGTAGTCTTATCTATCTAACTGTTATGCAGTCTAATGTTGCATTTGTTGTTCATAATGTAAGTTAATTCAAGAGTGCTCCTCGTTCTATCTACTATGCTACAGTTCTTATAATTTTTTGCTATGTCACAAGCACCCTTTTTCATGGACTCTACTTTTCAGCGCATTCTTCTCTTGAATTTCATGTTTACTTTGATGCTAATTAGATTGGTGATCCAACTGATCATCATTCCACTATAGGTTTTTGCATTTTCCTAGATAATTCTTTCGTTTCTCAGCGTAGCAAGAAATAGAAGCTAATTGCCCAATCTAACTCTAAAACTAAATATTGAGTTTTACCTAATACTTCTCAAGAGTTAGTTTGGTTTTATTGGTTATTCAAAGACGTGGTTATTACTCATTTCCTCCTATTAGTATTCATTATGATAACCAATGTGCTATCCAAATTGCATATATTGATATTTTCCACGAGGCGCATCAAACATATTAAGGGCCCGTTTAGAATTGCGGTAGTTTATTAAAAAGTATTTCCTCAATAAAGCTTTTAATAAAAGTACTTATTAAGTGTTTAAGTGCTTTTAAACATATTGTTTGGAGATATGATTCAATCAGTACTTATTGTATTGGATAATGTGTGATTTGAAAATTTTTTAAATGTATGTATCTCTTTATTTAGTTTTTAATACAGGATAAAATGATTAAATTTAATATTTTATTTTTTAAATCACAAAAGCTACATTAAAAGGACCAAATTTGAGTTTTTGCTAAAAGTGCTTTTAAGGCCAAAAGGTTCACTCCTAATTTTATAGGATGATGTTCACCAAACATCTTAAAAGTATTTTTAACACCTAAAAGTATTTTTTTTATTAAAAGTATCGCAACCTCCGAAGGGGTCTAAGAATGATTGTCATTTTGTGAGGCAATATCTTGTTCATGGTATTTTGAACTTTTGTTTAGTTCATTCATTGGACTAGATTACTAATCTGTATATCAAATCATTATCTCTCAGTTGCTTTCATGATCTGATATGCAAATTTAAGTTGGTTTCCTTGCAATCACCTTGAGTTTGAGGAGCAATGTTAATGTAAAATATTCTATTGTATCAATTAGTATTTATTAGCAAGATTAGTTATGTTAATTAGTCTAGGTTCATTGTGTTTAATTGTATAGGTTCACTTTGTAAAACTTATAAATATAGGCATTATATCATTGTACAAATCATGAATTCCGTAAACAATTCCTCCAAAATTGATATCTTCTAACAATATATTTATGCCTTATTTTTTTTTACTTTCAAGTCCAATGCACTCATATTTTTCCTTCTTAATTTTTGCTTTCTTGTTTCTTTCATTCACAAACAAAATATTCAATTGGGGGAGGGGGCGAAAGATAAAAAAAAATATTCAATTTTAAATTTAGTTCATATCTTTCAATTTACATATAAAGGTGTATAAAACCAAGATCATAGACGTGTTAAGCTAAAGATGTGATTTTTGCTAAGTTAAATTATTTTATTTATTTAATCTTTTGGTTTTGTTTTAGAAAGACATGAAAGCAAAAAGATAATGAACAAGAAAAATGTCAAAAAGGTCACTATTGCAATTAAACGCTAAACTTTTTTCAAGAATGTGCCTATTTTAAGGGTGTATATATGAAACATCTCCACTTTGTTTTTATTTGATTAGCACACAATCGAATACACATGTTAGAACAAAATTATTCCCATCATCTTCAATCCTTTATTTTTCGCTTTCTGTCTTTCTCGTTTCCTTTTTGCCTATCAGACTAACCCAAATGGTAAAAAGCATAAGTTTAATACCACCGTTCCAACAATGAAAATACTTTTAGATTCAGTTTTGTTTGTGTCGAGCTTATATAAAGAGGCAAGCAAAGTTAGCCAAGGATCGATGAAATCAAGCATGTTGGCTATAATTTGATCTAACTATAAAGTAGATTTTGTAATTTGGTAAAATAGCTGAGGAGTTAAATGTAATTAACTATAATCCAATACATTCTATTTGTAGCCTAGTCTCTATTCTTTCCTTCTCTCTCTTCCCTTGACCTGACTTTCATGTGCACTCGTTAGAGGAAAAATAAACCAAATTAAAGTCATAGTAGTAGTAATTAAACACCTTTTAACTTATTTTATTTTTTTTGGTTGCCACTTGCCAGCCACGATATCCAGGGGTTTGCCCTGACTAATCCGTTGGTCGACTCGGGTCGCACGCCTGATTGTGATGGGCGAGTCTCTCAACAATGGTGGCTACGAACGCCAGGTTTCGACACCGAGACCTGCTTAAGCGAAACTAAGCTGCTTACCACTTGGCCCAACCTCGATTGGTAACACCTTTTAACTTATAATTCTCCTGCCCTTTTTCTTCATGTTTAAGGAGGCCTTGTTTGGCAAGCAAATTTTTGGCTAGATTTGTCTACTACAAATTTTTTTTAACAACTTTGGGTACAATAATCTTAAAAAATTTTAAACTACACACTTCAAAATATTCAAAAATTTACACACTTCAAAATTTTTTTTTACAACTTCTACAGTAATAATCTACCTTAAAACTTTAAACAAACACCCAAAAAATTTACTTGTCAAACGGGCCTTTATTGATACAATTCTGACACAGTGTCATATCATCATAAATATAAATTGTGAGATCAATTTAAGAGATGTAGGTGGGTAAATTTTTTATAGCAACAGTGCGAATCTAAATATTCGCATTATGAAAGTTGAATTTTAACTTCAAATTAAGATAACGTGACATTAATATATATAACTAATTAACTACTGCGTTTGAGCTTTTACATTTAGTACACTAGTTTATTACGAGCACTACAATATGAAAAGAAGATCCCCGTAGCATCATCATCATCATCAACAAACCGAATATCAAATCAAATCCGTCCGTCCGTCCATCCATCCATAAATACAGCAAATACGCAACCCAGCGACTGTAGACTACTATTCTACCCACACTCACGCAATCTTCTCTTCCACATTTCTCCTTTTTTCTTACCAAACATACTTTATAGTGCTATGGCTGTGCTCTCTTCCTCAATTTGACTCTCCCCAAAACCCTAATCGAAAAAATTTCCTTTCTTCTCTCTCTGTTGTTGTGTTCTATATAAGCATACATATAGATTTATTGCATAATTTTCCTCAAGGAGCGGTGTTGTATATTGCTTGCTTCTTTCTCTCTCTCTCTCTCTCTCGCTCGCCAATTCTCACTATTATACATACACAAAGCTCTCTATACATATATAGAGATACATATACATATATGTATAGATAGATAGATAGACGAATGTGGAAGGAAAAGTGGGGCGGTGGGAGAGGTTGGTTGATCTAGGGTTTTAATTTCGTCTGCCTGATATTATGGAGAGATCCGATTCCAAGGACTTTCCCGACGCCTCCTCCTCATCCTCATCCTCAGCTGCTCCTGCTTCTGCTTCTTCCTTTTCTGGTTAGCTCGGCCTCCGCCTCCGCCCTCTTTTTTGTTCTTCTACTAATTAATTCGCTGCTGGTTTTCGAAATAATTACTCCACTTTGGTCAGAAAAATGATTTCTTTTTTTCTTGTTTTGTGATTCTTTACTGCTTCTCGCTTCGACGTCTTCCCTTTTTCCTTCTATTGATCTAGTTGAATTTTTTTTTGCTCTGCTTTTGCTGCAAAATTGGGTGATGCATGCTTTAAATTCGTCGTGATTGTAAATTTTCTTAAATTTTGTTTTGTTTAGCTGACAACAAGAATGGTTGTGATGGAAATTGCAGAAAATGCCCTTTTTGATGCATCGCAATACGCCTTTTTCGGCAAAGACATAGTGGAGGAAGTCGACTTGGGGGGTTTAGAGGAGGAATATGATGATATCGCTAGTATTCCTGTACTTGGGGGATTTGGCGCCCGTGACGACGATTTGCAGGAGTACCATTTGTTTGACAAAGATGAGGTATATATAGACGGCCAATGACTTCGTTTCTATGTGTGCTTCTTAGATGTCTTGCCATCATGAAATTTTGTCTGGCCTCTGTGTGTGTGTGCCTGAGATTGAAGTTTGGTTGCTTAGATAATCTGAAAGCCTGTGTGTGTTGAGATTGAAGTTTGTTGCTCAGCTAATCTGAAAGTTTGCTTCTTGGTTGTTTTACATCAAATTTGGGACGTTTACTGTATTTAGAATGGATGGTCCTCTATTTGACTTGGCACAACTTGTTCGGACATTGTTGAAAAGAACTGGTGAGAAGGGAAATATTTCTATCTGCTGCCTTTTGAATTCCGAGGTATCAGGGCTTTGAAAATGTCTAATTACAACCTATTTCTCCATTGTTTCGAATCAATTGGGCAACCCAGGTTTCTGTTTTGAGTTTGAGCCTTTACACAAACAGAAGTTGGTTATACTAGGGTCTAGTGTGGAGGAAGAAGCACTAGGCTTTTGAGTCGAAAGAGGTTGATAATGAACAACCATGCTTAAAACAAATGATACTTGTGGAAAACAGTTGTCACTAGAAAATATGGTGGTGTTGTGGGTTTTGTATAGTAGATGAATACAAAAAGGAAAAAAAAAGGATTTTTGTGTATTTATATGGTTTGTGGCTCCTATCTGCCGTTTCATATTCAAATTTAATTAGTTATAACAAAAAGTGTTGTTGCCGTGGCATTGACTTTTATCTGATACAATGGGAGTCCATCTATTTAATTAGCTATGGAAAACAAAATCATTGCTGTGCCATTGACTTTTATGTGATTAAATGAGGCTAGGGATTTCAAGTTGGAGAAGTGGACGCAACTGGGTGTTAAATCAAGATAGAAGTGTTTAGGTTTGATGTCAAATACACTTGATTAATTGAAAAAAAAAACATAATATTGGCCTTCTATTTTGTTGGACCTCATGTTGATGAGGTGTCATTTCTAATGCAGATAAATGGTTAATGATGCTGCAGAAGTTGTATGGTAGAAACTCAAGTCTTAGTTTGAATAATAGCATATTAAAATTTTTCAATAATACCTGTAAATATATCTGTTGCTCTGTAAATTTTTAAAAAATTAAATGGATGCGACTTTTTTGAAGTTTTAATGTGAATATTGTTACTTACACCTCATGTATGTGTAAAGTTATTACCATTTTGGGGCTCCCCAATAGTGTTTTGTTGGCTCAAATGTGTCTCATCCTATCTGTCTTTTCTTACAGGGATCAGGTTTGGGATCTTTATCTGATATGGATGATCTGGCAACTACATTTTCAAAGGTTGGTGCTAGTCGATGAGGTTGTAGAGTAAATTTTAGTTTCATTCTCTTTGTTATCTATCTTCCTTTTTTCTTATTTTTTGGCCCAGGGTTTGTTTCCCCATTCCTTTTCTCTCTTTCCCTACCTCTCTCCCGTTTGCTTCCTATCTTGTGAGAAAGGGCAGTTATCTTTGGGTTGAAATGTAGAAGCCCCCTTTCTCTCTCCGTGTGTGTGTGGGTGGGTTATGTGTGTACGTATATATGTGTGTATATATGGATTTTATTAATTTGACAAATGTTAAGACCTGCACAAAGGAATTAATATTTTTTGATGAAAAATTCTGGAACATGCTTGATTTATGTTGTTTAGATACCTTTCAGTCTTATGTACTCAATTTCAGCCAGTACTGAGGAGTTTTTGTCACCAAAAACTAGAGATTCCTACAGATATGGTGATATGACAGGATAAAGGTGAAAAATATACATTGATTGATACGATAAGTACGAGAGAAAGGACTTTCCTGATAGAAGCTTTCTGGTCATGTATTGTCTGTATCATAAATATTACTCTATTTCTCTCATTAGACTCAGTTTATCTCAGTTAGAGAAGCTGGCTTTCCCTCTGGAGAGTTTGACACATTTAGTTGATTCTTAACTTGAATAGTTTGGAAGCTACTTTTCCGGTAATACTATATTATTTGTGCTCTTTGCAGTTGAACAGAGTTGTCACTGGGCCACGACATCCAGGGGTTATTGGAGATCGAGGATCTGGATCATTTTCAAGGGAAAGTGAGTGCCTGTCTTGCATAAGATACTGCTTTTCCATTTCTCCTTCGAAGTTAGAATAAATAACTTAGCCCTACAACCATATTTTGCCATCTTCCAGTTTATATGCACTGGACTAATATGTTATCTGAGCAATGTGCCTGATGCATGCAATGATTTTCAATTGATCTTGTTTGCACATTAGGAATTCTGTCTAAATTTGGGGAACTAGTGTTGCATGCTATTCAATGCAATTTCAATTGATTAAAATTGGAGCTGTCTGCTGAAATGTGTGAGAAAATTGTTAAATAGTCATGCATGTATTGAGGAATGTAACCAATAATCGGCAACATTTGATGCTATGAAGGTTTTTGACTTGAATTCAAATGCTACTATTGGTTGGCAAATGTGGATATTATTATATTTATTTTGGAGACATGAGATTGAGTATCACTATCACTTCTACCTTAAAGCTCCCTGATTTTGAACATCGGTTTTTTTTTGAGGTTTTATGGTTGAATATTTGAATCTTTGTTCCTATAAAGTCATCAATCTTAACAAGGTATGGGTAGGGCTCGGTGGTCTGAGGTTGCAGTTAATTATTTCTCTTCAGTTTTGATTCTTGTTTATGTCTTCCAGTTCACGAGTTAAATCTTACTTTGGCATTCCAGATAATATTTGCTTTTTAATCTTGGCCCGTGTCACATCTTCCTTTATTGTTTGTTTCTTGTGTATACTCTACTGTAATCTGACATCTCCTTTGTTTCACGTGATGTTATAGAAAGGAAATGATGTTATCATAATCTGATGTCTGGTTCATTTTCCTGTAAAAACAATTGTGAATTCATAAAAAGGAGCCCATAATCTCTATTTGGTTTGTTTTTGGGGCTGAACAGGAGGAGAGTATATGCCTGTTGTTGGAATGGGTTATACCAAAACTGTCCAAATGTTTGGTTCAGCCTTGAAGTTGTGGCTGTTTGCTTTGTGTTAAACATCTATTTTTTTTGTACTTTTTCTTTTTTCTCCAACATCTTCCACTTTCCTTCTAGCATCTTAAACCTTTTGCACAATCTATGGTTGCTTCACTCTGGATTATCTGAGTAATTCTTCCTTTTCTTCTAGTTTCCTTCTTCCTTTTGCACCGTAAAGCTTAGCAGACCAAGGCCAAGTTCTATTTTGCCCCACTCATCACCGAACTTCATTAAGCTTCAGCTAAAAGCCTCTCCTCCCCCCCGCCCCGCGTGGCAAGAAACCATTTCAAGATTTCAATTGGTAAAAACAAAGAAAAAGAAAACAATAACAAAGGCTTATACAAGGTTAATAAACTCAAGTTGAAATGTGAAGAAGATTTTCAATAATTGCTTGCAAAATAGCAAAAGCTGGGGTAAACATCAAGTACTAGTGTTATTGGCTCATAAAAGAGCGTTCTTCCTTCACTTGATGAGGCCAGAATATTATATCCCCTTTGTAGCTGCCGTGTGTAACGACCACCATTCCTTTTCTTTTCTCATGCTGTGCGTTTTTGCATTTACTGTGGATGGAGTTTGTGTGTTTGCTGCTTTTTTCTCATTGAGAAGAAAATGATTCCTTATTTGTTTATCCTCCCCTTTTAAAGCTCCCAGGAATTGATGGGGGTAATCAACTTCAGATGCACCTCAATGGGAGAAAAACTTCAGTACCTCTTGACAGTGCTTACATGGTGCCTGTAATACCAATAAGATTTTCAATGCCAACTGGTCTTAGTTGGCTGTTTTATATTGGTAATGGTGCGCTATGTGGTACACCCAGAGATACTGAAGGCTTACTACCTCAAAGTTGGGTAGGGGCAATGCTCACTTTTTGTTCTCTACAACCTAAGATGCACATTGATGTTGTGGAAAGAAAAATATGGTTGTCATGAACCTTGATACAGAATATGGCTAGCGGCGATGCTCACTTTTTGTTCTCTACAACCTAAGATGCACATTGATGTTGTGGAAAGAAAAATATGGTTGTCATGAACCTTGATTCTGAATATGGGATAGATTTGAACAGAAAGGTGTTCATGCTAATTGCTAGGTAATGAGGAGAGAAAATTGATGTTCAATAGCAATCTGATGTAGAAGGTGATGGTTCTCTTTGCACTTAAAAAATTGTTGTCTAGGACCCAAAGTCTTAATAGTGGTAAACTGGTGATAGTGTACTCGTGGCATGTGGACTATACATGGTTATTGATGATAAGAAATGATGAAGGCATGCCATGAGGTCAGTATGGTAGGATACAAGGGAGATGATTGGTAAACAAAAATCTAGAGAAAGAGGAGAAACTAGTTATTTTAAAATAATGAAATGTTGCCACACACTGATGTTTCCTCACGTTTTTTCTTTTACTGATGATTATGATTCCCTTTAGAGAAAACTGAATCCTTATGATCATGCAATTTCATAACTATGAATGGTGTGACAGGATTAATCTTTTTAGCTTTGATAAGCACTTTCGTTTTGAAACCAACTTTATGGAACGGGGTGCACATTCAATTATGGTAATCAATTATTTCTGGGTAATAGCAGGTGGAGGTTTAGTGTGAATTAGAATTATATCTATGTAATACCTTGATCTCATGGAAATCTGTCAACATAATCCAATGATTTTAACTTTTGTCAAACTAACGCTTGCTAGCCACCATTCAAACCCTCAACATGAGTGCCCAAGTAATTTTAGAATCTTCTTGGTATCTCTTTGATATTCTAGGTGAAGGTTTCCTCTTACTCAAATATAGTTAAATTAGTCTGAAGGGGGTTTTATTACACCATTCAAATATTCAAATGTCTTTGTATTTTAAATTACTTGCACCTACGCTTTTACTTGTGTAGATATGGACTAAAGCTAGATGGACTGTTGAGCATGAGTATGTCATTGATAAGGAATGGGTACCTCTGATTCTTATCCTTAGTTGAACTAATACTTTTGTTCAAATTAAACTGCTTATAACTATTGGATTGGGATTCTAGTGGCAAGATTATTGAGCTTACAAGCGTAGTTCATCTTTGAGAGGAGAGTGGAACTGCAGGCAACCTTATTGAATTACAAAATAGGTAAAACTGCAGGGGTTAGTAGAAGTATTCTTGGTCATGAATGGAAGAAAAGCTGATGCTATCTCTCTCTCTTAGGAGCTTTAGTAACTTGCTTGACTTTATGACTTGCTATTGTCTGCTGCTTGTGCAATTGCTGCTGATTTTAATTGTATATGAACCCCTTTTCTGCTGGTTCTCTGGTTAACATGAACCTGTGCAGGTTCATCTGCTGCAGAATGGGTGCAGGAGTCAGATTTTCCAGAGTGGCGAGACCATATGTCTGACTCAGAGTTTTACCCAGAAGGTAAGAGATGGTCGTCACAGCCTCAGCTTTCCTCTGGAAAGCCATTGTATAGAACATCTTCCTATCCACTGCAGCAGCAACAGCTGCAAAGAACATCATCGTACCCTCAGCAGCAACCACAGCTGCAACACTTTGCCAGTGAACCTATTATTGTGCCCAAGTCTTCTTTCACTTCCTTCCCACCACCTGGTGGCAGATCTGAACAAGCTTCTCCAAGCGGCTATTCACCTCACATGAACATTTCATCTCTTGCTAGTGGGTCTCACTCACCCTTCTCAGCACCAAATGTCTCTCATTTATCCAACTCCAATATGCATCTGGCTGGATTGCCTCATGGGTTTCCTTATGGTAGAAATATGGCTCAATTAACTCCCCTGAACGCTCGGTCACAGAACCAGTGGACTGGCCCTGGTAACCTTTTTGATGGGGGTCATTCTAACATGTTAAACAGTTTTTTGTATCAACAATTGCCTTTCCAGAATGGATTATTGCCACCACATTTAATGTCAACCCAGCAGCAGTTGCAGCAAGCAAGACTTCACCTTTCAGTTCAACCATCCGTAGCCCATTTCTCAGCACTTCGATCTCAGCTTTATAACAGCTTTCCTTCACCAGCACACCTGAGTAAATACGGTTTAGCTAATATGAAGGATTCAAGACCCAAATCAACAAAGAAGGGTAAGCACAATGTGCGCTTTTCTCAACAAGGCTCAGATGCTGGTAGCCAGAGGAGTGATAGTAACTGGCCTCAGTTCAGATCCAAGTATATGACAGCTGATGAAATAGAGAGTATTCTTAAAATGCAACATTCTGCAGCCCATTCCAATGACCCATATGTGGATGATTATTACCACCAAGCTCGTCTTGCAAAGAAAGCAGCCGAATTGGGGTCAGAGCACCGTTTCTGCCCGGCCCAGACAAGAGAGTCATCCTCTAGATCCCGTAATAGTACAGAATCACAGCCTCATCTCCATGTTGATGCTCTTGGAAGGGTTTCCTTCTCATCTGTTCGTAGGCCCCAACCACTCCTTGAAGTTGACCCACCTGCCTCAGCTTGTGGTGATGGCACTGGAGAACAGAAAACGTCAGATAAGCCTTTAGAGCAAGAACCGATGCTTGCAGCCAGAATTACAATAGAAGATGGCCTTTATCTTCTGCTTGATGTTGATGACATTGACAGGCTTTTACAATTCAGTCAGCCTCAAGATGGTGGTGCTCAGCTCAGGCGGAGGCGGCAGGTCCTCCTAGAAGGCTTGGCAGCTTCACTACAGCTTGTTGATCCACTTGGAAAAAGCGGCAGCTCAGCTGGGCTGGCTCCCAAGGATGACATTGTGTTCCTGCGATTGGTCTCTCTTCCCAAAGGCCGAAAACTAATTTCCAGGTTCATTCAACTTCTTTTTCCTGGTGTTGAGCTGGCCCGAATAGTTTGTATGGCTATCTTCCGTCATCTAAGATTTTTGTTCGGTGGCCTTCCTTCTGATTCAGAAGCAGCCGAGACCATCATTAATCTTGCACAAACAGTTTCAGCATGTGTTAGTGGAATGGATCTTAATTCTCTGAGTGCTTGTCTTGCTGCTGTAGTCTGTTCCTCAGAACAGCCACCTCTCCGACCACTTGGAAGTGCTGCTGGAGATGGGGCCTCGATTATCTTGAAAGCTGTGCTAGAAAGGGCAACTCACTTATTAACTGAATCCAAGGCTGCTGGCAACTACAGCATTCCTAATCCTGCCCTGTGGCAGGCATCCTTTGATGCCTTCTTTGGTCTTCTTACCAAGTATTGCCTCAGTAAATATGATAGTATTGTGCAATCAATATTTAACCAGAACCAGCCAGATGCGGAGATGAATGTTCCGGAGGCTGCAAGAGCTGTTAGCAGGGAAATGCCTGTGGAGCTCTTACGTGCTAGTCTTCCACACACTGATGAGCGCCAGAGGAAGCTGCTGCTGAACTTTGCTCAGAGATCCATGCCGCTGACTGGTTTTAATGCTCATGGTGGGAGCAGCGGACAAATAAATCCGGAATCTGTGAAAGGTTAGCTGTGGTGGCAAGGTGCAACATCAATGTGGAGGCTGTAAATCCTTTGTGGAAGTCATTCTCTGGTTGCTTCCGCTGTTGGGTGCTTTGCTCTTTTAATGAAATGATTGCAAAGCCGAGAGAGAAATGAGAGGGGTACCATAATGCTTTGGTGTCATTTTTGTGGCCAAGGTTACAACATGATATCCCTCCTTGTCTGCCTTCTCTTTTCCTCTCTCCCCCTTATCTCTCCCTCTCCCTCTCCTCTCACTTCCCCTCTTCTCTCAGTTTATTTCCTGCATACTCTGATGAACATATTGTCGTGATTAACTGTGTAATATGTTGCAAGATCTTGAAAGGGTTTAGAAACGAAATCTTTTTTATCCAGGGAGCCTTATTTTTATGCTCTCATGACCCTCACGAACCCTGCATAGATAAGGTTAGAATGTACAGGCTACTCGTCAAACTTGAAAGTAATCCTAGCGTTTTCTCGTTTGTTGGCTGATTCTTCCTCTTTTCGCGAGGGGCTTGAAGGGGTCTCAAGGAATGAAGAAAGAAGAATCTTATTCATCTGCTGTGCCTGATTCTATTGCCAAGATGAAGGTCGTTTAGTTCTGCCTAGTTTTCATAGGTATTACTGCGGTGAACTTTTCATTGAAAACATTGTAATAAACAGAAAGGTTTTCGCTTGACCCTTTCTGAATCATGTGTTTCGTGCAATTTCTGGTGCTTTTTTCCTTTGCTTTTCTCTCTTTTTTTTTTTTGTTATTTTCTTTTTTCAAGCCATTGATCCTGACGATTACTATTGTATTTTTGGCTGGAGCATCTGTTTCGAAGAGGCTACGAAGGGTGAGGAGCTCCAAATTTTGGTGGAAAGCCCTGCCTTCTGACAGTCGGGTTCAGAGCTGAAAGTGGTCCCTAACGTTGTTTCCCTCATGTTTCAGACAGGGAGAAGGAGAGAGACGGGAGTTGTCCCTTGCTTCTGCGGTGGAAGTTTGTTTCTGTCTGTGACGTGATAAAAATTACTATTATTGCTTCTACATGTCGGTTTGTGCTAGTCTTTTTAAGCTGAGTAGTGCGTACCGCTGAAGAATCGACTCAAACGATGTATATATATATATATATATCAGCTGATATGGTATGGGAATCTGCAAAACTAGTAATGTAGCCAGTTTCAGCCTTCACAGGGTGACATTTTAAGAGTAGAAACAAAGCATCCTGTTAGAAACCTCAACATCAAGAACGAACTTACACCAAACCAAAGAAAGACTAGGCGATGGTCGAGATGTCCGGAGATTCAGAAAAATTGTTCTTCAATTATTATTAAAGTGACAAAGCTTTCGACAATCCATTTTTAAGGTTGCATTTGCAATTCAAGTCACTTGTCACAGAGTCGTCACCACGTTACTTGTGATCGATTTGTGTGGGGACTTTTCATGGAGTTAGGCAGGGGAAGAAGCCTATCTTTCTTTCATTAATTTGATTGGTATCTACATGGGAATTAAGCTGCTGTTAGGTGAGCTCCAAATTACTGATTCCCTACCATTACTGTCAAGTTTTGACTTTAAGATCTTGTGGGAATAATACCATGAAGTTGGGTAATTTGAATAACAATTAAAAAAGGGACTAGAAGCAGTACATTATACGAAAGAAAGGGTGGTGTACGTTGACACGGACAATATGATTTTCAAAATCAAGTAACTTATGTTTTCTTTGAAAAAAAAATTCAATTGACTTTATAAAGAATGTAAAGAAACATAGAAGTTCTATATTGTTTATTACACTTATGAAAATCATAAGAAAGAATGCTCAAATAAGAATGTTTTGTATTCTCCCTATAGAAGTTCCTATGTTCGTTGCAATTGTTGTGCACAGAAAATTCTTGTGTTATTACATTTCTGTGTGGTCTTTGCCATAATAACAAAATAATACATTCTGCCGGCGAGGGTACACCGGAGACCTCGCTTGAATTTTCAGGAAAAGAAGAAATCTAACTGTATCGCATGTTGCTATAGAGAAGAGTCAAATTTGAAGAATGTTAAAGGCCAACTAAATTATTACTACAAGAAGATAATAAGATCAGTATTATTTTTGGTTGACTATTATAACTTGGGTATTACGATGTCAAAGAATGAAAGGTTGTCATTGTTGAATTTTTATCCATGTTAGCATAGCTGTTTGCATAAAAATATCATAGTTCTTCCATTTCATGGCAACTTCCTCCCTCCCTTTCATAACCATAAGACTAGGACTACGTCTAATCTCTCTCTCTCTCTCTCTCTCTCTATATATATATATATATATATATATATATATATATATATCACAAAATTAGTGATTGATTGGCTGGTGTATATTCGTGGGGTTGGGGGGCTGTTTAATTTTGTGAATAATATTAATTAAAGAATGTTTATTTAAAGTGCAATAACTTGCCTCCTTGTTTTGAGGCTTTGTGTGATCGTTGTTTACACTCATGCAGAACATGGTCCGCTTTTCTTCGGTTACAATTTAGTAAGCAGCAATCTACACATTCTTGTTTTACAACTTTAATGGCATCTTTCATTAATATTTGACTTTGATAGCTCGAATTTAAAGAGTGGCTTCTCTTATCTGTCACATCCTCTCTCTCTCTCTCTACATCTTAAGTTTCTTTATTAGCCCTTTTGACATTAAGTAGTATTTAGTAGTTTGAACTAGTAATTTTTCTCCTCTTTCCATCTTGTGTTCAGGTAACGCAGTCTTGTATATGTGTACTTTCCATCGACATATCTTTGATTTCGCCCCTTTGCAATGTATCATCTTTTTTGTACGTCAGCATCTCCAACGTTAGTTTTTCCTGCAATTCAATGCATGCATCAGTGTTCACTGGATCTGTTTTCATATGCTATAGCACGATCGTATGATGTTTCTTCAGAAGCGTGAATTCTGATCTTTTCCTGATCCTGTTTGTAATATGTTGAGTAAGGTTATTCCTGTTAATCATCTTATATGATCTCTGTTGTACAGATTCATGCGATATGTAAAATTTGGGTTTTTTTTTTATTATTATTTACGTATTCGAAACTGTCCCATTAATTTTCTGAATCTTTTATATGTGATTGTATCAAAAGTTTTGCAAAGTTGACGTGAGATGTTCGTCTTATGTACTATCAAATATTTGGATTTTGCATCCGTCAACAGTTGCTTCTTGGTTTTTCTGATGAGGATGATTTCTATCTTTCCTTTCTTGTTCTATCTATTTGTCCTTCTCTTTTCTCTCTCTCCTCTCTCTCTGCCCTCCCTCTGAATAGAATTTCTGAATGTTCCAAGTGTAAAGGTCTAATGTTTTGTATGAGATGATCATCAATTGTTTGATTGCTTCTGTAAGGTTGTCTTTGGCTCTATATGAGTGATTTATCTATGCAGAGCTCTCTGCTTTCATGTACGATTCCCTTGTGCTGGTTACTCATATGTGTTCTGCCTGCATATATATGAATAAATCTACCTGATCATTGAAAGATTGCAGAATTTTTACAACGTTGATTGTGATTATTTTCATTTTTTGCTTTGGATGAATGACTGAATGAAATTCCCAGAATCTAAGTCATTCCAATAAAAAGTTCTTTTACTTTCCCAGCAGAAAGTAGATTGCAACAATTAAACAGGACGAATTGTCTATCAGACCTGATTTGTCACCCTTGTGATGCTGCTTACAGTGTTGACAAGAAGCTCTTAGAATTACAGGATCATCAAGCCGCAGCAGACATAACAGTTTCAATTCAGTTTGAGGTTGGTGATTTTTGGCATATATGTTTTTCTAAGTTTTCGAGTAGTAAGGGTCATTTAGGTCTGCAAAGATTAGAACATGCATTTTGCCCAGCAGAGATGTGGTCACTGTCGAATGGCGGAACAAATGTTTAACTACTCTGACTAGTATAGGACTTGTGATAATGGCATTTTGGTATCAGAATTGTCCCCAGATGTAGCAACTGGATATACAGTCCGGTAATTGGGATGATGCCTCAGCATTTTTTCACCTAACCGTCTAAAAACTTCCAGCACCTCTTATGTATAGTCTGTAATTTTTTACTGCAGTAACTTTGACTTCAGACATTCTTCTTCTATTTGCTGTCTTGCTGCTGCCAGTCTATGGATTGAATTTATCTACTGCAGTTGCTTTAAACATGGATAGATAGACTGGGATTTGCTTCTGCAAGATAGGAGGTTTACCACTACCACCTTGATTGTCCATTGACAACTAACTTATGCTCTCCAGGCTCATGCCTTTCATGTGACATGACACCTTTACAAGACCAAACAACATGGCCTAATGTCAAAGGCACTCTTTGACAAGTAGTCTAAATCAGAAAATACATACAAACTTCACAATATAAAGCGTCAATGATTAAAAACATTTTGATCTGAAAGAGATTTATTAAATCATTTGCTATGGTGATTCCAAAATTTTCTTGTAAACAGAATCAAATGTAATGCAGAGGTGCACTGACATTGTTGGGTTCTGAAAGTGGTCATATCACAATTCTTTTGTCACGTATCATCCTGAAGGACTAGAAATAGGCTTGACACCCTATTGGTTCTGAATGTTTATGTCAGCCAATTCGTACTAGTTTTAAAGCTCAGGGACAACTATTGCATGTTTCCTGGTTTTACTCTAACTACCTGTGAACTAACTGACTATGTTTATCAGCACTTGCAGACATGGATTTTGTGGATGCCAGACGGAAGAGCCAATTTCCTAGAAAAATTCTGTTGGCTGCTGGCTTTATTACACTATTTATATTTGTCTTCAAGAATTCACCAAGTTTCAGTGGGGGCTCTGGCAAGGTACTTCTACTTTTTACTGGAGGATGGATGACTAGTTTTGAAGAGTTAGCTGTATGTGGAGTTTCATCAACATCTACATTTTGGACCCTAGAAAGTATCTTGGTGGAGAAACAGATTTCAGTTCTGAAAAACAATTCTGAACTTAGAACCTATCAAAACTTCTATGCATCTCTATGTTTATGACGTAACAATTGATTTAGACTTATAAGAGTTCTTGCAAAAAACAGAAAAAGTGTTTAAAGAGTTCTTTAGTTTTAATGTTCTGCACCATTTTCTTGCCAACATTCGAGTTACCTACAAGACTTCTAGTAAGAAACTGTAACTCTCCCTACAGGGGAGAGCTATTATGTACTAAAAATGGCAATTAGCAACACATTGATCCTCTCAATAATGTACACGATGTACTTCACCTTTTTCTTTTACGTTCTCTGTCTTGGTTATTATCTTTCATTTCTAATATCTAAAAATTTTCAGTTCTCTCAACACGAGCCTGGTGTAACTCATGTCTTAGTAACTGGAGGTGCTGGCTACATAGGTTCTCATGCTACCCTTCGACTTCTAAAGGATTCATATCGTGTAACAATTGTGGTATGAGCCATTCTGATGCATGGTTGGAAGTTCCTTTGCTTGTATAATAAGGCTAATCTTTCTGAATGTTTGACTTTACATTCATTTTGAAGGACAACCTATCTCGTGGAAATCTTGGGGCTGTTAAAGTTCTACAAGAACTGTTTCCAGAGCCTGGAAGGCTCCAGTTTATTTATGCTGATCTAGGAGATGCAGCAGCAGTATCCTACAATCATCCCTGTTGTACTGTTCCCTTTGTTAATTTATTATCTAGTGAAAATTCAATATCTGAAAGGCAAATTGGACGTTTTTAGCTTCCCTTAATTGATATATCAGGTCGACAAAATATTTTCTGGCAATGCTTTTGATGCTGTGATGCATTTTGCAGCTGTTGCATATGTTGGTGAAAGTACAGCTGAACCTCTAAGGTATTTGGTTGGTTGTGCTTTAGCATTAAGCACTTTATATGGAAAGGGTACTTTATCTCCAAAGGAAGCTAGCTTTTTTAATCTGTTGGAATAGCAGATTGTCGCATTCTGTTCAAAAGTTACAGTTTACTACTATTTTTCAAGTCCATGCAAACGGTTGATATATGCAGGCTCTGATAACTTACAAGAGGATAATCAAAACTCTATCCAGCTTTACCTCCTCCTAATTCTGTAACGATGCATGATATTTCATCCACTTCAGTTTTTTTTTTTCCACCATGCAGATATTATCACAACATTACATCAAATACCTTACTACTGGTGAAGG